AAAAGAACAACTCTTTTCTTTGTTGAACACTTCCGTTAGACAACTGGACATGAAATTTTGAGGTGGCCTAACACACCAACGTACCAAAACCATTCTGATGAGGATTACAATGACCCAGATGACCCCAACAGGAGGGGCCTGGAGTTCCTTTATTTTTGGTCCCACCCACAGTATATATTTGCTGTACTCCCCTCCACCAGTTAGAACTGAAGAAGCCTCTTGGATGAGAGGTGAAATGTCTTATTGAGAAGATTTCACGTCCACTTGCCTAACGGAACTCTTCAACCTTGACCTTGATGACTGAGAATCTTCATAGACAACTCTTTTCTTTATTAACCTTCAAAAACTAAAAACTCTGGTTTCATTTTTAAGGTTAAAAACAAAACTCTTCTCTGGGCGTTCTCCTTATGCCCAGCCAGGTGTCATTCTGATGACTTCATTTATAACATTTTTCAACAACTGTTATCACATCAACCATTTACATAAGCGTTCTCACCTTGGCGGTGTTGTCCTTTCAGGCACTGATGAACATGGTGAGGTCTACAGACGTCTGGATGGTGTTGATGTGCTCCTCAGCTTTCTTCAGGACTTCTCTGGAATATTTACAAAACAAAGTTCCTCATTATCACAAGCTCCACAAAACATACTGTCTGTGATTCAGTACTTCATTTCTATTATTCCATCCATCCATCCATTTTCATCCGCTTATCCGTTACCGGGTCGCGGGAGCAGCAGTCGCCACCCAAATCACACTGCACCGTACCAACCCCCCAAACCTTCCTGCAGGTGGTGAGTCCACTGGAAGGTACCAACCGCCCTAACCGGGATTCGAACTTACCCAGGAGGTGAACCCTGGGGTTCCACACTAATGACAGAGACATTGCCTCTGGGCCAAAGCGCCACTCATTTCTATTATACTGTGTGCAAACTATTTCTTTAGCAGGAAGCAGTGTACTATATGCAGTCTCGTTTCTTTTACAGAATTAATTTATTTATGTTGTGCGTGATGATTACCTACCGATCTGTTGTGGATCTCACAGGTCGAACAAGTTCATGAAACATCCCATCTGCTTGTCTGTGGAACACACGATGATGGTGCCGATGAAATCGAACCTGTGTTTTCTGAGGGCAGATATTAAAAAAAGGGACACGGAACAAAAATTTTACACCAAAATATAAAACACGACACAAAATCACCCAAAATACATTTAAATAGTCATACACTATGTCTGCTGGAACCACCTACATAGCTAACTGTTTATTTAATTTCCTTATTTCACTACTCAACTATTTACACTGTGCATATATTATGTATTTATTCACATAACATCCTTAAAATTATACTTCTGCTAATGCATATATATCATGGGTATAATGTGGTATACTTTACTATACATGCACATCATACCAATTTAATTTAGAATAACAATAGTACAACAACTATATAACAGAGATTGCAATCAACAACACCACACATGGCAACAATAATTACCTACTAATCTATCTATCTACTTCTAACATCCACTGTTGAGATTTATTTATTGACAGTGTGCTGCTACTCATGTTTGTATTTTAATGTATTTGACCTATTTGTGCGTTTTTATTGTTGTTTTGGTGCTGTTCTGCAGCTGGAACTCCCGAGGAATTCAGAAACTTCTATCACATGCATTTTCTTTTCACCCACTGATCTCGCAGTCCCACGGTCGACAGCTGTCATCAGTTGATCCTGTCAAGACATTTTTGGTGTCCCCTGAGAAGAGCCAGTTAGGGAACGTAGCATGTATCGTGGCAGCAATTGATGAGTGTACGCTGGGGTCAACTGTGTCAGGATTACACATTTACTTGGTACAATAACTGTCAGACAATTCATCACAATATTACAATTATTATGCTTTTATTGGTTTTACAACACTGTGTTGTTGCATGACAACATCACATTTAATGTCACTGTTGCAGCATGCCAGTCTTCTTTAGTTTATTGAGTTCATGTTCACTTTGGTTATATTTTCTGACGCTACATTCTTATCATTCTTAATTATTAGTGATATCAACTTATGACATCCCTGGTGAAGACACGGCAGCATACCGAGCTAAATAACATCACAGGATACAGTCGCAGTCAACCCACTGCACTCCCGTGTGTCCGTTGTAGGTACCGAGTACCACACGTTGGCCACCTGTTTGGGGAGACATTGTTGAAGGTAAATATTAAAAGGATTCAATGCAATCATGGCTTCACTTCAAAGTTATTGCTTTGCTCTACACTACTGGTGCCACCAATAACCTCAGGAAGAAATCCATGTTGCACTACTTTCCTTTTAATCTGAATGAAACTACATCAATTCTACTGGCCTCAGTCGTGTCCACTTTTCTTGATTACAGTATGATTGTCATATCACACACTGTACAGCATATTGCCTGATGTTTGTTACACAATTGCAAGCATGTTCACGTGGACATTCCATATTCTTCACGCCAAACTAATTACTTATCCTATAATCATTTCGTATCACTCACTGGATCTTTAGCGACGGAAAACTGAAGGTCTCCTTCTCCGTTGTACTTGATCTGAGTGGTGGACCCTTAGTGGCCCTGCAGCAGGATGGGTTTCTGTACAGAAAAGCAATATTTGCAAGTTAATGTCATATTTTCCAAAAAGGTGCATCAGCCCAGCTTTAATTATTTACCACGACACCTCCATGTTCATTATTTAGGACGAAATACTAACTACGAATCACTTTAATTTCTAACAAAAGCTAACGTTAGCTGCCGAGACACATATGCTAGCGTAACTTGCACTAACGGTCTCGACCGAACGACTACCATTTCAAACAAAATACAACCGACAATTGTTTTCAAAAACTCACCATTTCAATCAATCACATGTAGTTACCTTGCCCAGGTTTTTAGATGAACGCCCGCTGGAAGCCCAAACGGCTAACACTAGCCGAATCCACAACCGGAAATAAGGCCCGTACAACGTATTCCTATTTCCGTTACACAAACGTTCCAATATCAGCGCGCCCCCTACGGTTGACCGCTGAGATTCACATTCTTTTATTTTTCTTTTATTTTTAGTTAGTTTAGTCTCTTAGAACTTTTTCTTTGATAGAAAGAGCGTGCTTTGACGACTGTAACAGAAAAGCTCATTGGTGACAATCTACAAAAATAACTATCCAACCCATTTTGTCATAATACTTTGAGACTGGCCTAGAATTTGAACCCAAACTTACAGGTCCCCCATTCTGTGTCACTCTCCATGAGCTAACCAACCATATGCAATGAACTCAATGAAACCTGTATTTGTCATGGAAGGTTACTGTTGTAAAGCATAACATTTAAATTTCAACAACAGCATTTGACCCTGCACGCATAGGATCCTCTCTTATAAGAACTGCACTGATCAAAATGTTCAAATGGAGCTGTTAGTTTTACCTTCATTAATTTGTATGTAAGTATTGGTCAAAGTAAAGCAGATAATCTTCTTCTATGACTTACTTTTTTATTTTATGATATAGCCTATATATTATTTTATTCTTTGTCTATACATACAGTATGTGCATATATATGCATACATAATCAGAGAAACCATATAACACAGTGGCGTGGTGCAGTTGCCTGCAGTTTAAAACTCGACTGCCGTTACCCAGGTGCGTCCGTGTTAACTGCTGAGTAATGTGAAGTTGTGACTGTGGCAAGCAACGATTGGGTCCCATCGCAATTGCATTTCGGCGGAAGTGGGACTATGTTCCGCTTGCATTAACAAGGTTCCCCTTTACACGCCTTGAAAATGCCTCGTTACACCATTTACCATTTAATTTATTAGTTTATAAATGTATTGGTTAATTTTGTTAGATGTTTTTTTATCTTTATATCTAACATATAGTTTTATATCTTAGATATCAAGGAAGAACAAACACACAACCTGCCATTTAAAAACTGCTTTATTCATGGTCCAGATTTCCATCGTGGAGTTTAGCCATGTTAACCATGAGCCTTCACAGAGCACGTCAATTCAATCCACTGCACTGCAAGCTAGTTTCTGGAATGTTCACTGAGGATCAATAACTTACATAAAATATTCTTGGCAACAAAATGATAAAATACTACATAATTAATAAAATACTGTACATTGGTTGAAAATCAATTCGATCACTGCCAACTGACAATATTTGTCCCCTCGAGGTGATAGATGTTAAGCAGTTGATCAGTATGGCAGGACAGCTGCTTCAGGAGAATATAAAAATAAAGAATACTGTATGTACCAGGAGGGAAGTGAGAGATTTGGACAAGATGATGCTCAGTTGACCAGAGGGGAGAGAGGGCTGTGTTTGCTCCCAGCTGATTGGTGTACAAAGACTTTCTCTACTTGATATGGCTCAGTGCTGGAGCAGCTCAGTGAAACACTGTACAAAGTGCCAACATTTACTATAAAACTGGCTGCCTGTTTTTCCACCACACTTGTGAATGACACACAGCATACACATTGCACAAAAGAAGAGGATCATCGGTGTATATACATATATGTGTACTACAGTAGCTACAGCTGAACACTACCTTCGGATAGACCTCACATCTCATTGGTCTTCTGTCCTCCAGGGCTCAGTGTTGACACAGAAGCTGCATTTTCAAACATCTCATTGGTCTTCTGTCCTCCAGGGAACTGTGTGCTCTGTGTGCATATGTCTTTGGCCTACATTCTTTGTTTTTCTCTGTGATAAAACCAAATACACACCTAATACTTAATCTGCATAATGTGCAGGGAGTCTTCAAGGAATTTGATGTAACTTGACAAGTCAAGGAGATCAAATTTGTTAGTAAAGGTCTTATGGTCTTGTTTAATTTAAGGCCAGAAGTTTAAAACTCATCAATCACTGCCTTGGACCATCAGGTTCGTATAAAAAAAGAAATCTGTCAAGGTTTGGGGAATGAATTGCTCCTGGCGAGGGATAAATTAACTGTTTTGGATCATCTGAACAGGACGCAACAAACACTTTATGGACGTGCTGGCCTTATGCACAATCTAATTGGCTTATAATGTTGAAGTAATATCATGAGGAGGGTTGCTCTCAGCAGCTAAAATTGAGACGTGGTTCATTCTGCGTGTCCTTTACCCATCATGCCGTGCCTCCACGAGCTCCTGTGGCAGTTTTGTCATCCTGGCCTTTTCGTATTTGGGACCTCACTCTTGTCACGCCCTGACTTTCTTTACTGAGGTTTCCAGTCAGGGCAGCGTCATGGACCTGTTTCATGTTCTCCTGGACTTCAGCCTTCGCGCGCTTCAGCAAATCCGCCTGACCCTGGGTGTACAAACGAGAACACGTGGTCAAAGAGAGGGGCGTATTCAGCATAGGACGTTGGGATTTGATGTTGACGTAAGTGTGTGTTTGAGAGCCTCTCACTTTGAGGATGGTGATGTTCCAGCTGAAACTTTCCAGGGCTCGACTGACTTTGCGACCTTTCAGCCCTTCTTTCACTGCCAGACTCTGTAGATTCTCGTGGAACTCCATCGCTAACAAAACACAAAACCTCATTATGTCATGAAGAACAGTTCATCGACAGGTAAAAACCAGACAATTTTTTTTTACAAATACATGGAAAAATATAATTAAACAAAATTTTAGAAAAACAATAAAACTGTGGTCAGATTTATTTTCCATTACAGCATTTTAATTGATGACTAGAAATGAAGGTGAAGCACTTCCTGTAACATATCGCTCTGCCCCGGAGGATAATTTTTCTTGCTGGTTGCTAAGCAACTCCATTTCTTGTTCCTATACTGTATAATGTGTGTATATAATGTGTTCATGCCAGTGAATCTGCACGTGTGTGTGTGTCTCTGTTTGCACATTTTCAGGTTGTCTACACTTGCACATCGCCTGTGTGTGACTGCAAGGTCCTCAGCTCAGCATGTTTTAATCCCTGGGCTCTCATCGATGGCTCGCAGGGATGTGATGTGTGGCCTGTCTTAACCCACTTGTGGGTTTCCATGGAAACAGCGGGACGGCCAGAGGAAGTCAGACACACAACAAATTAAAAAAAACTCAGGGCACGCACCCAGTGTAGCCCGCGGTCTGACTTTGATGACTTCTCTCTGTATAATTCTTTGTAGCTCAGACTGCTTCCTGTCACTGTGGTCACTGATGACGCTGAAGTCATTTTTTCACAGAACTGTCATCCAGTATGAAGTTTGAAAAAGTCTGGCCACGGCTTAAGTCAAATATTTAGGAGGAGAAATTAACCAGGGGTGTGTAAACCAAAGTTTTTTTTAATTAAATATTTGATAATGTAAAAATATCCAGGGGTCAACTGCAGCAGAAAAGTTGAAGGCCAAACTGATTTGGGTTCGTGTTATATCGCAGTGTTTCTAGTCAGAGTCTGAGACACAAGAAAAAACAACCTCAGTACGTGGCTGCCTGGTTCACTGGCAGTGCCAGCAGTTGGGCAACCTCTGAGGGTGGGTTCAAATCCAGGTGTGGGTACTGTTGAAGTTTAATTTTTATTCCTAGCAACACCGACCTTTCATGACAAATATATACGTTCCACCACAACCACAGTAAGTGGCTGGTTGGCACAGTGATGGTGGCACAGGCTGGGAACCCTGTGAGCGTGGGTTAAAAGCCTGGTGTTCTTTGCTGCTGAAATCTAAAACTTATTCTTTACACCAGTATCCTTTTATGACAAATATACTTTCCACCATGAACACTGTAAATAGCTGGTTAGCTATTTTATATTTTATTTTATTAGGCCCAAGTCAGGCCACATTTTACTATGACAAAAGGTGTTGGGTAGCTCCTCCCCTGACTCCTCCCACTACCAGAATTGTAGTCTGAATAATGGGAGGAGCCATTGAGTGTAATTCTACACACCAATCACTAATTGGATGTAATGACTGCAATACAATAAAATAAGAAAAAACCAAGTCCAAAAAAAAAAACAAATTTCCAACCTTTACCTAGTGTCTTATGTTCATGTCACCAACTAAAATACTTGCACAGCCTTGTCTCTCCTCATTGTGCTTACATAATAACACACTCTACATATTAACTTCTGTTGAACAAACACCTGTCGTCTGTATGTGCATGATCCTGTCGTAGATCCCGTCAGAGAAGTCCATCACCGCTCTGCTGGCCTGGACCATCTGCACACAGGAAAACAACTGTTAGTCTCACCATTAATGTGTTTTATTCTCTTGTTCTTCTTCTCGTGTTTCTGCATATCACATCCGAAGCATCCCACATCCTCCCTCCCAAAAAAAAAAAAAACACAACCCAGGGGACATACTGATGTTGCATTGCACTTGCGGTCATAATTTCACCACATAAAGGGGACCAAAGGTTGTAGTGTTTTCTCCTGACTGTAGGTGGTGATGTCAAACAACAGAGTTTTATTAAAATTGCCCCTTTACCCTTACATAAACACACACAGCGAGATGATCCAGCTTTACGGCCTGACTCAGCCACAGATGACTGGGGACTGACCTTTCTTGCCCTTGTTCTCTGTGTTTGTTTGCCTGCAGCGGTTTTGTCCCCTGAAGCTGGGATTCACTTTCAGACGTCATTACATAAATTAACTACAGTTACATAAAGCTTCTCCTTGCCCAATAAATGCCTGCAGTTTATTTGTCTGGAAAGAGGTGGCAAATGAAGGCCAAGGTGAGGATGTCACCGCTGCGTTTATGAGCCTTGTTGGGGCCATACAAACAGGGAGGTTGTCTGCTACATAACAATAAGAGCTCTCTTTGTGTTTGAGAACAAGCTTTTCTCTGGGAGTTGGATTTTCATTGTTAGGTCAAGTACACAGGACACGGGAAGTACTGCAGTGATTTGGGTTCTGCTTCTCTTTTGTTGATTCTTTCCTTCCTTTTGATGCCATTGTTATGCACCTTCACCCGACATGAGCACGGAAGTGTTGTTTAGTCTCTTTCCTTCTTACCATCTCGTAGGTGGAGACGACCTGACGAAGGACATCGGGGAGAGGCCCTTGAGGCTCCAGGGTGGGGTAGTGATCCCGAAGTTCAAACAGCAGCAAGGGCGCCCCCTCTGGTCCAGCCACTCTGGAGCTCAGAGCCAGAATGCACTGCATCAGATTAGAGACTGCAGACACTCCACACAGCTCCCTGAACACTGCTACAGAGTTCTGATGAAGTCAGAAAAAAAGAAGGAGAAGATGGATAAAAGAAAAAATGAACATGTTTCATTTTTTTCATTTTATGACTGTGATGAAAAATGAATGTGCGGGCTATGAAAGTATATTAAAAAAAAAATCTGTGTGTGCCGGGCTTCAATTTTCATCTCTTTCTTCTGTCTTCCCTTTACACACACACGTAATCAAAAGCCAGTGCTGCTGCAGAACTATCTGTCTTTTTCCAGCTAGGGGTCAGCTTTTCTGCAGTTGTGCTGTTGTTGGAGTTTGAACTGAAATGGTAGTAATGGAATATACTGAAGGCAGAAAGCCCTAAAACTCAACGACCCCACGGCTGATAAACAATCACTAATAATGATGGTATTTTCAAATGATCAAAGTTCTCCCACCTGCATGTTTGCCCTCAGATCAGTGGCTTCTCTCAGCATTGGAGCAACAGTCTTAAAGACCTCGTCCACTGCTCTGACACCCAGGTCCCTGAGGGCTGTGTAGTCCCTGCCTTTTCTGGCCTTCCGTACAGAGAGGCCTCGTTTGTAAGGCTTCCCTCCTCCCCTACGATCGGTCAGGGCGACGTGAACAAACAACCTAGCGTGTGGGTGTTCCTCTCCTGTCAGAGACTGCAGTGGAACATGACGGTATCCTGACTGGACGCACTCCAAGGCAATGGAGTACTGACCTGTGGTGAAAGAAAAAAAAAATCACAATTTGACTGATAAAATGTTAACTTTGCTCCGATTATATCTTCGTTATCCACGTGCTCACCTATAAAGTCGTCCCCGATGAAATCATCGTCGAGCGCAACGAATCGGACCATGGCGAGCTCTGGCAGATTGATCTGAAACTCAAAGCTCTCGTCGAACACGGGGTTGTCTCCGTTTTGGGTCACGGTCCTGGTGCGGCGCTCTGTGCAGTCTGCTGGGATGCCGTGGATCTCCACGTAGACGTAGGGGTCTACAACGTCCCCTTTAGCCCCAGAGCCTCTGGGTTTGGGCAGGTTCTGGCCACTAATTACCTAAAGGATTGTGATGCAAATTATATATATAAATATATATATATGTATTTGTTTGTTAACCCTAACCCTCAATTACATCAGAAACAGCGGTACAAGAGTAGCAGATACTGGTACACAAGCCTAGAGTGCCCTCTAGTGGCTGTCAGTGTGAAAATAACAAACATGTAAAATTATATTTTTTAATATATAAGTCGCACCTGTGTTTAAATTGTAAACCCAGCCAAATGCTGAAAAAAAAGTGACTTATAGTCCAGAAAATATGGTAAATTTATGTAGGAGTAGGCTGTTTTACACTTAAAAAAATCACTCCAAAGTTAGATTAGATTAGAATATTTTAGTTGTACATCTATTACACTTATATACAACACCAGCCCACCTTGACATGGAGCAGCTGCGGAGACACGCCAGGCACTGTGTCTCTGGTGTCGGCACTAAAATATGACACCTCTTGCCGCATGATGGCCGGCCGCAGAACGAAACCACAATTACCGTTCTGCCTGAACCAGGCCGTGTTCAGGTCCATCATCAGTCCCGCCGTCTGAAAATTCATAGACACAATTTGGCAGCCACACTTCCACAGGTCCTGAGGGTTCATGTTGCTCGAGTCAATACGCATAGGGCTGGGGTAAACCCGGGACAGGAAATGCTTGTTGTGATTGACAAAGTTGCCGGGGCTTTCACCAGCGAGCCGCACAGCCAGAGACTCGTGGAAAGAGCAAAGTTCCCAAGGCTTTTGGCTTTTGGATGAGGTTTTAAAGTCAACGAAACTCACAGAGTGACAGAGAGTTACTAGGTCGGACAGCTCCTCCAAGAGTTGGAACTGCTTAGCGCAAAGATGGGGGCGCTCACACTTAGATGTCAAAAGAAGGCTTTTCTGCAGTGTGTCTTTGTCTCCTCCACCACTTGCTGCTGCTGCTCCACCGCTAGATTTTATCCTTTGACACATCTCTGCTCCTTCATCCTCCTCACTAACCTGCCCATCCTCCTCGGTGTACCCCGGCCCACGCTTTTTACCCTTCAGTAGAATTCGATGTCTTAATGCCTCTGGGGACGGCAGGTAGGAGTCCCCTTGAGCTGGAGGCGTTGTGTACAACTTATTCCCTAGAATGCCTGTGAAATGTTTCCACATCTTTCTCTGCTGCCGTATTGAACAGTGGTTCTCAATACAAATAATTAGAGGATAGTCTGATGCAACAAATGCAAATCTTCCTATGGCCTCCAAAACAGAGCTCAGCACCAGCGGCGGCGAAAGGGTGTGGCCTGTGCACACCACTGGTTCGTCATCGGTTCCATCCCAAACATCCACCTCCACACAACGGCAGCCCATCTTAAGGGCCCTGATGTAGCCCGACACGTCAGAAGGACCTTTGAACTGGTCCTCGATGAGGTAGGTGTTGTGGGAGGCGTTGATGTAGTAGTGGGACAGAGGCTGGCTCATGTCCTGGCACACAATGTCATGGTCCCTGTCAAAGAGGTGGCAATCCGCTGAAGTAAGGTAGCTGGTGAAGCCGTCCAAAGACATGAATCCCTGCTGCCGCCCTTCTTCTGAAGGCTCATGTGATTGGATGAGCTTCAGACTTGTCTCCTCCGTCACCTTGAAGACACAGAAGAGGACCAAGTCATGAGGGATGACTTGAATCACTGGGACTTGACAGTGCACATACATACACTTGTTGTCTATGCCAGTGTTTCCCAACTTTTACACCCATATTGTAAACGTCACAAACCTTCGCGACCCAAGTCAATAGACATTATTCATAAACTTCTGGGAAACATAATGCGAGGCGACCCAAAAAAAAAAAAAACTCTTGCGACCCACCTGGGGGTCGTGACCCAGTCTTTGGGAAACAATGAACTGTTTACGTCACTTACTTGCATTATACCCTGCTCAGCCTCAAGGAACCGCATCACGTCTTTGGTGTCCAGGTACTCTTTGTTGCTGGAGAACTGCACTAACAAAAAGTAGATCTCGGGACGTGTGCAAAAGTCATGAAAGACCTCGATGAACTCCTGCTTGGTGACGCGTTCCCTGTGTTCGGCTTGTCTCTTGACTTTCATGTGATCTTTAACACCAGGCACGTTGTCCGGCGTGAGCCCGCTCGTCTTTTCCCTGACTCTTTGAAGCTCTTTAAACCTGTGCTCCACTTTACAGCTGCTCACTCCGGGGTTCACGCTCAGAATCAGCTTCACGGCTGACTGAAGGCGGATCCCTTCCTCTGCGTCGCTGCTGTGTCTGTCCACATCAGCAGCAGAGGAGAACAGCTGCTCTAACCAGCCGAGACGAAGACTGTCCTGACTGCTGGAGAGCATGTCCAAGGCATGTTTCCCATACTGCATCAGATACCTGGAGGCAAATGTGAGGTGAGAGGAGAGTGGTTTAAGACAGTACAGTTCCAATTTCACCACAGATTATTTGCCGACACTTTAAGCACATCGGTCAAATCTGTTACAGACACATGACATTTGCAGACATGGCCTTTCGTAATGAAGAGGTCTCGGAGGACTAAAAAAAATAAATCAGCCGACTGAGACTTCACAGTTCATTAGAATCCAATCAATACTAGAGAAAACTGGAACAAAAGCAGGTCGGAGATTTACTGTCAAAAAAAAGAATGAAACAGCTGCACACAACATGGAGAAGGTAAATATTTTTCTTTTTTTTTGCTAATTTTAATAAACTTACTATTTAGAAATCAAACTATAATAACCCGTGGCTTATTACAATTGTGCATTATGCTTGACAGCTAGAAAAATCATTAGCATTTTATGAGCGGAGAACATCTGTAATTGAGATTAGTTAAGTATAGTATCGAGTATTAAAAACATATACAAATGATCTGCTCTGGTAGGCCAACATTGGACCATGCACCTATTTTTAAGTGAGATATATTTATAAAATTTCAATGTGTTTTTTTTTTAGTTGGTAAATACTCCTTATTTTGGGTACAATTTGACATTGTGTTGCCGCACAACACGTCTTTAGTGAGACACACCTTAGTCCAGTCACCCAAATGTTTGCAACTTCCGCAGAGTTAGCCACCAGATCCAGGTTTTCATACAGGTCTCCATAGACGATGGAGAACGCACAATCCTCTGAAATTTGCTCGTAAACTCCACTGGTGCGGAAGGTTTCTGTGTTGCGACCCGTCCTTACCTGGAATTGGAGAGAAGGAGGGAAATAACAAACAAACGTACTAATAAACAACCACTGGCGTTAGTTGCGCAGCAGCTGAACAGAGAATATTTGAACAACGACCTCTCTGATGGCAGAAAGACAAATCCGGGCTTTGTCTGACTCCTTCTTCGACGGCTCCCAGCACAGAGCTTGAAGGCCGGTGTCCAGCATGTAGTAACGTTGGTAAACTCGTGAGTTCGGTCGGATTTTCTTCAGCTCGCTGCCCTCAACCTGGAAGCAAAAATAAACGACGGGGACATTGCTTTAATTTATATTGCTTCTGAACATGTTTTTGAACAAAGGGATCATGTAAATGATGTAAATGACATCAAAGCCTTTATGTCACGTAATGAGGTCACACCATTGAGTGAATACAGTCGGCGGCGCTGCTGATCTTCTTTTCTGACAGACTGCTGCTGAAGGACACCGTCTTCTTCCTCTCTCGTCCTGCTCGTGACCCGTCCTAATGGAGAGAGGTCAGAGATGATAAAATGACAGGAGAGAAAGACAGAAAGAGAGAGAGAGAGAGAGAGAGAGAGAGAGAGAGAGAGAGAGAGTAGGTAATGAAAAGAAGCCCAACAGGTCCATCTGAAGATGGCCAGTGATCCCACTAAGACGTAACCTTTCCTTAAGGATGACAAACGCATTCGCTCAGAGGAGAGATCCCAGAGGATTACAGAGCCATATATCACCTTATGTAACTATACAGATTATTTGGACTACAATGTGGAGCCTCCTCCTCTCAATCTGTTATTGTTTTCCTGATAACAGGCTAAAAGCCTCTGCATGCCCTTGCCCTTCACCGGTCCACCATTAATCATACCTAGACAGAGGCAGCAGGCTTCAGCATTCTGATTCTGCCTCTCCATAACAGCACAGGCACCCAATCAGATTATCTGAGCTCATCCATCTGCCTCACTGGGCGATCAGATGTCAGCCCACAGAGAAACCTCCACTTATAGATAACAGCACACGTGTGGGCAATGTTATTTCATTAGAAATATATTAGAGTCCAAGGTAAATGAAATTAAAGATGTCGTTCAGGCTTATCTAAAGCAGGATAAGCAGAGACAGACATCACTGAGGCTGATTCATTTCCTAGTAGAGAATCATGCACTTACATACTCCGTATACTGTACTCCTCTTTGATTTTCATTCTGTTCAAATATTTAAAGTGAATTCATGTTCTACAACAATAAATGTGAGTCAAAAAAGTGAGTCATTAGCATAGATGTTATAAAACATGACATCCTTTTCTGTAAAGACGTGGCTCACGGGCCAGATGAAGACCACTGGAATGCCAAATGAGGGTCAGTGATTTATGCAAAATATCCATTATCTTTTTTTAGTAGGCTGTACAGTCAAATCTGGTCTAGACTGAATGTGTTTGTAAATCTCCCAGCAATATTTATTCAGATAAATAAAGTATATTTTTTACACTGAGAATATTCAGTGTTGATAAGAGAATACACCTGAGGTCAAAACCACTGACAAGTGTAATGAAAAACATTGACTTTTTTTTTCTTTGCAGTGAATCAGTCAAGTGGTGTGATGTACTGAGCAGAAAATGCACAGTCTGACCTTGGTTTGTGTTCTGTTAAAAATTGGCACGCTCAAGTATGTGAGTGACTTTGAAGAGGAGTAAAGACGATAAATACAGAACAGAAAACAGAAAAAAAAGAAGCAGATTGTCCAGGTTGTTATATAGGGATTTGATTAATAATTCCAGTACTTTTAAAATGACAAATTGAATATTTCTTGGTTTAGATTAATTACTTACGGGCTAATCATCATTTAAAATGAATACTTAACACCAGAGAACACTCCACAGCATAACTCTCTCTCTCTCTCTCTCTCCAGTCAGCGTGTTCCCATAATGAACTCAGGAGCACTCGGATCTTTAATGAAAGAAGAGAAGCGAAGCACTCGGTGTGTCAAAGAAATCTAAGGGATATGAAAGACCAACCCCCCGAAGAGAGAGAGAAAAAAAAATGACCCGTGTTCTGTTTCATCTAAAGAATACAAATGAATGTGTGAAAGCACAGGCATAATTTACCCGAGGATGAAAAGGTTCCTCTCCGAGGGATGTAGCAGCAGCATCCAGCCGGCCTCCATCGCCCTCATTAGAACAGACATGTGTTTCCAGACACCTATTGTTTTTATATTGTTTATGTAGATGCTGTGCTCCACCCGTCATCTAGGTGCCATAATAGGAAGGCCCTTCTTCAAATTGCATTGGTGTGCATGACGGTCAGTTTAGGATCAAGAATGAATAGAAATGGTGTTACGTAAGGTAGATAACTGACTTGGCCAACTCATTGATTAAAAACGTAGCCACTGCTAACACCTCCAAGGTTCCCGCACAGCATCAGCAGGAGAATGACTGGTAATTAAATCATAGTTTCCATTCATTTCCCCCCTTTTAAGCAACTGATTTTAAAAAGCAGCTCAGCATGTGAAAATGTTGAGACCCAGAGTGAGCCGCAGCCCAGACCAAAGCTCAACCAAAGCTAATCTTCTAAACACAAACACATGTGAGCCGACGTGGGAAATATCATTTCATCAACCGCACGTCTCGGTTGGTCTTTCATTTAGTGCAGCATCAGCAGCCACAGTGTACACAGCAGAGGCGGTGACATCTTTACACCAGGGGGCACCAGTAAGATGATATTTTTTTTCCATTTTACTAATTCCATCATTTGGTTTAGTCACAAATACAACAAACAATTGTGAAACATATACATCTAGAGTACACACTGTGAGTACAACACACATATTTATAAATTTGGATTCATCCACAAATCACAACTGCGATTATCAGATTCAAATTTTTTATTATTTTTCACCCTGGTCTAATCTCACTCATACTCAATTTCTGCGTCCGTAAGAGGAAATAGAAGTAATTTCACCTTCGTTTTACACAATGTACCAGTTACAATGACAGAATGTCCTAATGTGTTGCATGTGTTGTTGTGATTAAATTCACCAGGCAGCATTATTTTTCATTTCACTATTTTTAAACTAATGCTTAAATGTACATTTTTAAAGGTGAGTGAAAAAATAAACTTCACGGCACAGGGTCCTCAGCTGTGGCAGTGGAGGTCAAGGCCCTAGTTTAAAAATAAAACATACATCCAGCATCAACTGTTAGGCGGGCAAAATACTGTGTTTTTGTACTATTTCATTCATTCGACCCTGATGTCCCTGTGTCAAGCAGAGGGTTTTTTTCTGTCAGTTTAACACTTTCTGCATGGATGTGAGGAACAGTGGTCACCATGCACCAGAACAACACATCACTGACGAGTTGCGCAGCATTTCATCTAAATTATGCAGATTGGATTTACACAAATTGAATTGAACACCCCCGCCCCTCCCCCCATCAGTCACTTTGATTCATGGAGATGTTACTCCTTCATCAGTATAAATATCTATAGGTGTGTTTCCACCGGCACATCTGCATCACTGTTCCATATTTCAATTTATTTCCTCCTTAAATCTTTACAAATAAACGTCTTCATGAAATTTGATTTATTTTAGTGCATGAAAAACGAAGGGAACTTGTGTGTTTGTGTGGGCGTGTGAGCTTTAGTGCAATTATCTCACGTACAGTGGCTTCTCCGGCTCGTTCCCCTCTGCTAACCTGCACAGTAAATAACTGACAGTTTCAGGCAGTTTCAGAGTTCAAACACTCAGGGTCTGAATGAATGATTCCTTAAACAGGAGCTACAAACAGGAGTAAGGCCGAGCTTCAGCCCATGAATACATTTTCACCCACACGCCACTTAATCTTTGTCGGGGTGTTACGTTTCTCTCTACTCTGTATTTCTCACACGAGTTCTCAAAACCGCCAGTGAGGTTCAAAACAGGAAATAGCCTGTCAGGCCCTAGCAGAGAGCTTCCTGTGTCTCCACTGAGACAAGTGTTTTCTGGGCGATAACAGAAGGACACCGTCAATGGAAATAAGTAAAGAACAACTACAGTACTTGTTGTTGGAGGAGCTAAAACCAAACAACCGACCGCATTTCTTAATAAAATCATATCATAAAATGTGTCACTCCGCTACCCTACCATTGTGGAACATGAATAAAATTGATATCTTTCGATAGTAAAAAGCCGAATTAAAAAAATAAACATTTAATCATTTCGCTAATCTTTAATAATGCAAATATAATAATTTCTTTGCAATTATTAAAGGTTGGGTTTGTTTGTTTGAAAATAAATGTTACACAACACGAGTAGATCTCAGCTTTTATTTTGTAAAAGTAGCTCTTGGAGAATTAAAGGTCAGAGACCCCTGTTTTACATGATGCTCAGCAGCATCTGTTTATCTGAATGCAACAAGCAGCACTCTGTATTTACACGGCAAAGATGTGTTGAACTTTAACAGAAGGATGAGCTACCAATGGGTCTGTGTGTGTTTTTGACAACAGGTGATTCATGTGATGTGGTTTAACCCAGCAGTTTTACCACTTGAGCGGTGCTACATACAGTAGTGGGGTGCAGTGAGTCAGAGTGGATGTGTGGTGTGGGAGGTGATTTACAAGAAACGGTGAGATGCAGACTGAGAGTAAACTGTCTGGAACTCTGACGCTCTCCCTTTTTTTATGCATCGAATAACTTTCTTTTTTCACACCTATTGTTGAGTCTTCTTTGTTGGTTTATAGAGGACGGGAAAAACATATACATCTACAAACAAATAAGTTCCATTTAGTTTTAACAATCAGGAAATATTTACTGTATATTCTGAGCTATTAGTCGCACTGTTTTCCATCCTTTGTATTTCTTTGAGGATTTCATAAATAGACAGGATTAGTCTCACGGGGCACTGGTTCAGTTTTGACTCGGTGAAGGTGATTCAGATTCAGTGGCCGCGCATGTCTCCAGATCTTTAATACTAATGAAGAACTGTGACATCAAACAGTTCATCAAAGATCACTGTCCATCCAACATCCAGGATCTTAACGCTGCTGTGCTCAAAAGACCTCAGAAAAGACAATATTTGGTCAAGCGTGTCACAAGAAGGGATTTGTCTTAATTAGGACACACTTTGAAGATAATTCTGCTGTGCACTGAGACCAGGACACTGAGGTTAAACAGGGCAAAGGCAAGACATTGCTCAACTGCTAAAAATAACAATTGAGTAAAACACTGAGGGTCTGACTGTAAAAGCCCTGCCCCTGTGGTAAACAGTGCACCACATGCTCTTTCACGCATGAAACCTCCAAACTTCCCTGCATGCACAAACAAGGCGTGCACTGCAACGGTAGAAAAAAAAAGTGTTTCTCCGTATCTAAGAAATAACTGCGATTCAACTCGACAAATTTAACAGATGAACTTCCTGTATGTAGCACCAAGAACCACCAAAAACGGGCGGTTGTAGGAGAGCGAGCGTGAACGTGACGACTAGAATAATGTGTGAGGTTTAACACGCACATCACTACTGCTGATTTAATTTTGGTTGTGAGACAGGCACGTACTCAGACACACACTCACACACACAGTGCTCAGAAAGGCTGTGAGTGAGTGTGGGTCACAGTTAGTGACGAGGGTTTCACTCCGAGCTGCGCTGCTCTGGAGATGTTGATTGAAACTGCAGGAGCTGCTCAAGGCTGATTTGACTCACACACTCCCAGCATCCCCGGCTGTGTACCGCTGACCTCATGAGACTCATGTTGTTCCTGCAGTCTGCACACTCTGAACACAGGCACACACGCTATAGTAGATAACTAGAGACAAAAAATGAAACACAAAACTGTATAAAGTATTTATGAAAGCAGATAGCTCATTCTCCACTATGTCAACACATGTACATGTTGGATAAGGCAACATGTCCATAAAATATGTATCAATAATTTATTTATACCCAAATCAAACCAAACTGACCCAGGATCAGCCAAGGGTATGAGTACTTTCCCCTATGTCTGTGGAATACTGTAGTACTGGGACCTACGTACAAGGAACCTGCAGACAAATCCAAGATGCATTCCACATGTTGAGCCACATGTATAGATCCCACCTGGGGTGTCAGCAGTAATACACATGTCAACATGAGCTTCTATTCATATATACACATGCATTACATGGTGTAACACTTGCAGGAACACATCACTGATTCCTGACATGACGCTGTCTTTGTGCAGACTTGCAGATGTTATCTCTGCTTCAAGGAACACCTATTCTGAGTCAGCGTATACCTGTCGGTACTTTCTGTAACACGGTCGATCTTGATAACAACTCACAACCTACAAACCGAGAAAATTTTAAATCCTCACAAATAAGAAGTGAAACATTGATATAAAAGTTCCTCTCCTGCCCATTTCTCCTTCTTCTAACAGACTGTGAGCCACAGACCCTTCCTGACTAATCAAACTGCGACAGTAATTTGAGGCCAACCCAGCTGTGTGATCAGCCCATTAACAACATTAGCTACATGTTGAAGTCTGTGGTGGTTTAGTGTTATGTGTATTTGTAAAAGTGACGGTGGTTCATGACACCTGTGAGGGTGAACTGAAAGGAAAGATATGTGATGGTACCTCACAGGCTCGTGTCATGAGTGTGTAGTGAATGAACGTAAGACTCTCTGAATGGTAAAACTGTTAAGGTGAGCGGTCATTGGTACCGGACAAAAGAACAAAGCATCTCCGTCTGGTCTTTGCAACAGTTCCTCCTCTCAGCTTCCAGCTGTTATCAGGCAGAGGATGTTTATGTGATTTAAGGGCAGAGCTCTGACAGGAGCACAGACAGGAGGGGGACGGGGGAGGGGGGCAGTGGGGTCTGCACAGTGTAACCTGTTATTGCAGACCTATCAAGACTGAAGTACATCAAGTGTTCTATATTTACAAACACAGTACACAGTACTATACGGTACTTGGCTGTTGAAACTGGCACTTAAAGTGCAAGCAGAAATGATATTTTTTTACCAAAACCCCTGACCAAGTCAAATTTGCATAATGTGTCCACTGTGGGGCACTCTTGTTCCTCTATCTGTCTAGTTTTTCTGGGCTGTAAAGTGTATCTGTTTCTGCTGAAGGTGCAACTTCTCAGACTCTCACACATCTTAAAGATTACGAAAAACTGAAAAAAACAACTGTTTGTGTGTGTGTGTGTGTGTGTGTGTGTGTGTGGGTCACATTTAAAACATATGTCCTGAGAGGACACCTGATCCTCCATGCACATCAAATGAGGCGGAGTGAATCAGAGGAGGCCCAGAACACTAATGAAACACAAGGCTACTCTGATTAACTCAGTTGAAACAAAGATGACACACACACACACATACTGTACACACACACACACACAGGCTGGACACAAGTCCCCTGACTCCTGTTAACACCAGTCTGGAATGTCATGTTTCCTGTTTATCTGCCTACATACCAGCCAGACTCCTATTGTGAGGAATCCTGAGTCTGAAACCTCCAAGGTTCTTAAGCAAAGAGCAAAACAAAGCAGAAAGGTGGGCTCACGTCCCTCCAGCCTCCAGCTCCGAGGTCTCACCACAGCCTCAGGAGAGAATGATTAGCAAACGCAGGCACGTTCACGGTGAAGGCACAAATGCGTGTGCGGCGCTGCATGACGTGGACCCCCGGTCACTGAACACTCTCAGGATCTAATGTGCTCACTGAATTTGAAAGAGTCCAACACGGCATCATATCAACAGTACATGTCTGTTTCACTACACTGCAGTAGGCTGTGCAATTTTTTGTTGTTTATTTGTTTTAAAATTATTATTTAGCTATTTCTTACTTCTACTTTAATATAACTATTCTCACCACATTTGTCAGTACTTTTTTTGGCCAATTATGAACTACCGTATTCACAATATTTTTAACCTACATTTGGAGAACTGTTAGCTTAACCCTAGTCGTAATTTTTGACTATAAATCTGAGAACAACACGTATTGTTTTTGTTGGCTACCTCTTCAAAACACTTCAGGCTGAACAGGAACACAATGAGTTTGTGTGACTCTCACAGCCTGGCTTGACCTTTATAAAAAATGATGTTGCATAGACAACTTTAATATGATACAGAGACATAAAAAAAATCCCCCTGTCATCATTGTTTTGTGCAATTTCAGTTGTTTTAATGTCACTTTGCCCCAGCCTCTGCTAATTGTTGACTGACATTATATGTGGTCTCAGCGTAATATGGCTCTATTTGTTCTGCACAAAATGTGTGCAATCTGTCAGTAAACATCCACCGACTGCCTGGACTCTCAGTACGAGGTAAAACAGAACTCTGCTGCTGCTGCTCTGACGCTGCCTTCAGGAGAAGCAACACATGGGGTGGTCTTTAAAGAGTCGGGTTCTTCTCTGAGTGACTGCTGTCGTCCTTTTGACTCCAATCAGCCCATTGTTGTCTGAGCTCAGGCATCAACAGGTGTTCTCCACAGATCTGCTCCTCAACACCCACTGCTTATTTCTCATACTGTCTTTTCCCTTCACCAGGTCTACATGCAGCTGAGGAGTTGCTACTACCATATCGTGTAATTTATTAGACTCAGTTACTGAGTGCAGGGGGCACGCAAGGGTCAGAGGTGAAGTCACATGACCGCTCACCAACCGCTCATCTCTTGCAACACAAAACCGTTCAAGGAAATTAGCTAACTTCCTGTTGGAGCCAAATCGCACGCAGGGATGAAGCCACGTTAGAGGAGACGTGTCTTTGCAGGCAGGATCTCTGAAGACGCACGACGAAGAGTGCCGATCGATGAAAAGACCTGGTGTGCCTAAAGGCAGGGACCGTGAAAGGGCAGGGACGGTGGAACGAGTTATTGATTGAACATAAAATGTAGACAAGTGTGATGTTTCTATAAATATATTTATATATTTATATATATATATACTGTGATATATGAGCGCAGGGTGAGGGCGAAAGAGGAGTTAATTGGGAGGTGACATTCAACAGAGGGGAGAGCGCGTTCATTTTCTCAGTTTAATCAAAGGCAGCCGGTGGTTTCAGTTATGACTTCCTCTTCCTTTGTGCTAATAGGTGACATGCCTGCTGTTGTTTGGCTGGCACTAGAACAAGAACAAACTGACACACACACACACACACAGTGTGTGTAACTATTCCTTCTGGGACTCTGCATTGGCTTCGTCCAACGACACAGTCATAACCACAAAACTAACTCTTTGACCTCTTGGCTTCGACTTGGTCTTAATTCTACATTTCTATGATCGTGTTTTTGTTCCTTCAAAACACTGGTAGAATCAGTAACCATGGCAAAAAAAAATGGTCGTGATCAGGTACCAAGATAATACAGTGATGGTGAGACATTTAAATGTCAAACTCAGCAGCACGGCATCCTAGGTGAGATAAGGTGGAACCGACCACGAGAAGGCAGTGCCACTGAGCGTAAACTATTTATTTTCAGACTGTGGTTGATTATGTCAGGCTATTTCAGGAACATGTAGGCGTGTGCACGGATACAATTTTTATTTTATGACATCAGGACCTGTCATAAAGGCCGACCTCGTCAGGACCAGGATTTCCTCTGGAGACTACAGCATTAAGTTAGGATTGAAATTAGAGTCGGATCAGAGTTAAGGATTAGGATTAGGCGTGCTGTGTATTCGTTATGGTTGAGGTTAATGGTGGAAGGCTACAAAAGGGTACAGAATCCAGTATTTGTGTACTGTGTATGTGGGCATATATTACAGCGACTCAACTGATGTTATTGGTTTTTAATTCCCATGGAATCAGCTCTAAATTCCTGCAGGGGCTTGTACAGTGTTATTGTGTAATTCATTACTGTCTGTCTTTTATCCCAAGACAATGTCTTGCAGGCATATTTATCAAACAGATGTGTAACTTTATTTAGTGTTATGATGTTTTCTCCAAACTTGCATTTTTATGATTTTTTTATTATTATTTTGCATCATTATATTCCAAAGAGGTTAATTTCGTCCTACCTTGATCAGACTGCTGCGTCGGGGAATGGCTTTGGATGCTGTCTCCGAACCCTCCCACGTCGAGGACTCACCGCTGGACTGGTTCTGGACCTTCTTCACGGTGTCTGACCCGCTGCAATTCCCGTTGGACACCGGTTCTCCTCGGTGCGTCTCCGGGCTCGTCCCTGACGCAGATTTCCAACCAGCAACCGGTGGCGAGACGGAGCTCTGCTTGTGACCGTAATCAGCCATGATGACAGTGACACTTGTGTTGGTTTGTGCGCGCGTGCGTGTGTGCGTGTGGTCCTCAGTGTTTCTGACAGCAGCAACAGTGAAGCTCCCACCACAACACAGCTGCACACGGAGACAGCAGCAGCGGACCGAGGTGTGCCATGGCGTGACGGCTGGCTGACTGTGCGCCAACAACCGTGCAAACTCTCTCTTCCTCCTCCTCCCCTCTGTCAGCTATCTCCTCCTCCTCATTCTCCTCCTCTTCCTGAGCAGGGGATGACATGACAGCAGGAGACCGACGACACACCCCCCTCTGGACCTCCTCCGCCGTGAATCCCCAGTCATTAACCACATGGTGACAGCGGGAGGTGAGAGCCTGCGTGGATGAAAAAACAGCAGATAAATTCCTCCTCCACAGCCTCCGTCGGATTATTCTGACATAAAACACTTCTGAAGTGCTCGTGTGCACGTATTCAAGTCAACCACCGGTGTGTAGCAGCTTTGCAATAGAATCAGTTTGGGATATTTTTGTACTGTAGCTGCAGCATAAGCACATCACGTGGGGGCGGTGTCCTTTGGGTTTCATGATTCTCCATTAAAAATAATGGGAACATGTCATTGGCGCAACAGCTCTGGTCTAGTCTTACCTGAATTCACTGTTCTCTAGGTGTGCTGCTGCACTATTGTACTTTAATGAACACATCCTGAGTACTGCAATATCTGTAAATAATTTTCACATGTACACGTACGTGGTGTAAGATTAATGGCTTGTATTAAACGTAAGTTTATGTTAGTTGATAAATTCTAATGCATCTTTCATCTCTCTCCGTCTGGGTCCAGCTCTGTGGTGTTATTGGGCGGCGGCAGCAGCAGCAGTGTAATAAAGCCATCATCTGTCACTGCTGTGTAGGACAGATGAGTGGGTGGTTTTGCTTCTGTTTGCCTTTTAGGCTAAATTAACCACTGCTCTGTCTGATAGACTAAGGTGGCCCTAATAAAATGGTCCAAATGTTGCAGTGGTTTTGTAGCTACTCATAAAAACCAAATTTAAATAATCTTTTTTTTTTATCTGCATTTTTCTCTAAATCAAAAAGCTTCTATCTGTGATGGGAAACATCCCTAAATCCCCATATAAATCCTTAAGAAATTATATTTTTCATGTATTTTTACTAGCAATAATTTTGTAATATATAAGTTCTATGGTCGGAGCTAAAATGATTTTCAACTTCCAATTCATCAATTTGTTCAGTAGTAAAAATGCATTTACAACTTCATATTCATTAGTTTTTAACATATTTGGTGAAGGTTAGTCTCTGAATTTCTAGACTAAGATGATCTGTGATTTAAGGGAGTTAACTTTACCTGTTTAAATGTTTCTAGTATTTAGTCTCTTGATTTACTTCATTCAGTATTTCTGCTTCTCTCAGATAGGTGTCTCTGTTCTAATTTGTGGGACTTAATTAAGGGGGGGAAAGGCCTGGATTTTCTCTCTTATATTCTTACGTTCTCACACTTTCAGCAAACAGAATTTTTTCAGTGTTCATGTACCGTACACATCGTCCAACGATGTTTTCGAGTTACAGTTACAGAACATTTCGCTTAGACAGTTGACAACGGCAGCGGTTGAAGTGTTTGATGCTGTGTCTGTGTTTGCCAAATTCAGTGTTGATTTTCATCTGACAAAAGGATCGTTCTGTTCTGTCTGCAGGACACTTTTAAAGGGAGCTGAAAGGTGAAAGCTGGAGCTGGAGTCAGACTGAACACCAAAGTTGTGGCTGATTGGATTCTGAGTTATGACTCACACACGGCCCCAGAAGTACTCTGGGGGTGAGGAGCATCTGGCTCCAGCTGCATTTTGTAATATTTGAATTGATTAAATACTTCAATATTTATGCCTTGTATAAATGGAGGACGGGCGATGATACAGGAGCTGAATTCAGACGAGTTATGTCCGAACCCACAAATGCTGACTGAAGAGAACATCAAGGGATACTGGTGTAAAATATCAGCCCTGCAGCATCATCCACAACCTGACCTGAAGTCACAGGACTGAATTTCCAAACACACACTGTCAATTTATACATAAACCCCTTTGTTTCCACAAAGCCTTTAAACCCGCGGTGACTCCATACCATGGTATGGACATGTTCTACCAGCAGAGAACATCAGAGAACATCACTCTGACACTTGAGGCCAAACCCTAATTGATATTACAGATGCCTTCATCTAGACACAGGTGAACTGTGATTGTAACCTTGATCACATAATGTTGTAGTAGTTTATACTGCTATTTAGTCTAGCCTGCCGATTGAGTGTGACATAGACATCATACTCGGAGAAATGTTTATGAACAGATAAACTGTTAGTGAACAAAAATGAAGTCAATGTATGTAAGAGTTACACAAAGGTTGTACTCAAAGTCAACAAGCTGAGCTCTGATGAAGTCATGGTTTGTTTGAGAAGGAAAGGAACCAGAAAAAAAAATTAAAATGAAAGGACCATCATTGATTGTGGGAGTCTCTGTCACGGTTGGAGGTGCACTTCTGGTATGGCTGTTGGGGAGCCTGTGAAAACTTAATGAAGAAGTTTATCAGATACCATTTTGCAACACATATATAGTATACAGTGTATATATGTACTGTATGTGTGTGATCTGAGATCACAAGCACTCTGTCAATGCCAGGAAAACATACATAACAAAACTATAATGGACATTGACACTTGACCTTTGATATCATGAGAGGAGGAAGCAAGTCTAAACACAACCAACTCTCAAACTATCTGAAAAATATATACTTGCGTTCAGTCGGTAACTGTAGTTTTAGTACCAAAAAAGATTGTACATTTCCTATTTATCTATTCATATATCTATCTATCTGTCTATCTATCTATCTATCTATCTATCTATCTATCTATCTATCTATCTATCTGTCTGTCTATTTATCTGTCTAATTCCAGGTAAATATTGCACATGGTTTCTAGTCATCCAGCTGGCAGAGGCACGCCACCCCGCGGTTAATCCAGTGTTTCTGTGGTTTGTCGGAGGGCAGCTCGATGGACAGGACATAGTTTGTGGAGTGGCCTGTGGTGGACAACGTCCCTCTGCGGGCACTGGTTTTGTAAACGGGAGAGACGTAGATGTTTTCATGTTGAAAGTTGGCCATCTCTCCCGGTTTGAGCTTGATGATGGGTAAAGGATCAAAGAGGATTTTAGGCAGGGACTCCCCAATAACCATGCTGCCTCTGTCCCAGCGTGCACCCTCCATGAAAAGACCTCGAACATACGCGCCATCGTCTGGCTTCTCGGCCATGTGGGTTTCTTCTTTGGTTACCTGGGCACAAAAGCAGAGCTTTGGATGTTTGTGTCACATCTACTTGTCTGTATAGTTCAATCATGGGCCTGAGTGGTTTCTGAGTAAAGAAAATAAAGTGGTGTCTAAATGTCTTGCCTCAAACTCAAAGCCAATATAGTCGATGGGGATTGTATACTTTCTAGCAAAGTTCTGAGATACACCAGTCAGGAATGACTGTGTGAAGTAGAAGCCAGAAAGCCAGAAGACTGTAGGTGGACCGCTGTCTATCCAGTCCTGTCAAAACAAACATTTACAAACGGATCATATTAAAAAGAAAGAATATCATTAGCATCATCATCTCTAGACAATCACACACGGCTTTATAAAAAGTAACTGCATTAGTCCTGCAGTACTCAAACTACAGTACACGAACTATTGGTGGTAATTGGGCTCCCTCTTGTGGTACAAGTGGGAATATAAAAAAAAACAAAAAAAACCCCAAACATTTGTAACTAAATGGTTGAAGTACATAAACCTAAACTCAAAAACAACATTTGAACATTGGTCACACTAACAACAAACATTTTTTGGGTGTCATCCATCAGTCATATGTGCAGAATAAACCACGTCATAAACCACATAATTAACCCCAAGTTGGTGCCAGTAATGCATCTTAGACGAGATCAAATAATACAAGCACCGGAAGCACAAACACTTGGAAATGGAAGAAAAATATGATAAATATTATTTGTACCTGTGTTCCAACTTAACATTTAGGGTGAGAAGGTGACAGTATATATTTACATTAATGACACTATGTTTTTAAATGCACTTAATACAATGACCAGAGTGTACAAGTGGCTACAGCACCCCCTGCAAGGAAACCTCACTACTCAGTATGTGGTTTGTGAATTCTTCTATCATACTCTAATGGTTTTTTCTTTGTTCAAGGTCTAACTGACCTCAAAGACTGTACTTCTTACCTGCAGGAACTGCAATCTGGCTAAGAGATCAGTCACGTAGCTGCCCAGTGGCTTCAGTGAAGGGTACGACTTGGCTGCCCACATCACGGGCACCTTGCCCACCAGCATGCTGTTAAAGACCTGCTCGAGTTCAGAAGACATAACGATCTGTCCCTTCAGAGCTTTCTGGACGTTAATCATGCTGAGACGCACCACTTCTGTGAGTCTGATGAAAAAAATAGTGAGGTTACAGAACATCCGTGAGGGTAGTATTATTGAGAATACCCAATAAGAGTACACCAGTACCTGTTAAAGCGGATTATTTCCTGCCTCAACACAGTGTTCATGGACTCCTCATACATGACAGGATATTGTTCTATCACCATTTGTATGTCAAAGTCTGCCGGCAACTTGGACAAGATGTCTTCAGCGAGCTCATTTACAACTTCCTACAATTGATGACAGTTTTCATTAAAGGTTCATTGGAAACCGTAGTAGAAACCAGTCTGCTTCAAACAACAGTTAGTGCAAACCTGGGGAGATTTAGCCCCGCCTCCCATTTGCCTGGGCAGAGTTGACAGAACACCATCAAGGAGCTGATTGGTTTCTTGATTGTCTTTAGTGATGTCAGCGTTGCTGTGAAGTCCAAACACGCAGGGGTCGGCTAAAATTGGCAGACTGCGAATGTAATCAATGTATGTCTGGGGGAAAAATATAATAAAATAAATATATATATATATATTTTTTTATGAACAACATTCTTAAAACTGTGACAACAAGTAGGAATTGATGGGCCTGATGGAAAGGTCCGTACCTGGTAGGGTCCATGAGGAGGAACGCAATACTGATCCCCCTCACAGAGCCTGTAATCTTCCCTTTCTATCAGCTCCCAGCTGTAGAAGATGGACAGGAGTGAGAGCAGCAGACGTCTGTCCTTGTCATCAGTCACTCTGCCTCCATAGTTACATTCACCT